TGCAAGACCTAATTTTTTTTTTATATATAGCTGCCTTTGACTATATTGCTGATAATTGTGCTGAAGAAAAAAAATCTGGAATGTGTAAACCCTTCAAAGGTTTATTAATTTAAAGACCAATTTTACATTCTTTGAATGGGAATTAAAAAAAATATCCTTCACAGTTAGCATTGTTATATACTTTAATTTGGAACTAACAACTTTTACACTAAATCAACACCCTTGCTCTTAATTTTAGCATTTTCTTTTCAAACTCCTTTATTAATTCCAGTTTTTAATTTTGGCACTTTTGTGCTTTGTGGTAATGGCACCATCTGTACCTTACAATGAAAGCTTACATTTATTTCCTTCTTTTTATAAAGAGCTGATTCCTCTTATTGGTGGTATGGGCTAATGTGATTAAGAGTAATTCTTGCAAGCACAATCATTACAGCCCAGTCATAATACATATTTCTAAAACACCTGAGGTGTGTGTAATGCTCATTATATTCACAATGACACAGGTGGCTGGCTGAGAGGAGTGAAAGGTTTGTTGTGTTCAGCTTGAGACAAATGAGAATGCACTATTAAAAACATTTTTAAAACCATTTCCTGCTTTCATGGATTTCTTAAAAAACAATTAGCATTACTTCGAATGTAATACTGTATGTTCACTCCTATCCTAACTGTCTGGCCATGTTTACAACATTGTCTACTCTGTAAAACACCTATACAAGTTTTAGTTTTAAAATGTTTTTGTCCCCTTACAATTTGCCATCTGGATTTCAAATATCACTTACATTCTCTTTAAGTCCTTGTTCTGACATCAGTGGTGATCGGGTGTCTGGGGTGAAACTGTGCTCCTATGTAACATTTACCCATCATTGTGCTAATCCTGTGGGATGTCCCCCTGCAATTCCTGTGTTCTTCTTGGGAGAGTTGCAGGGGCGTGGGGTAGAACTTTATACAGTGACAGTTATTCTAATACAATTATAGGTAAACGTAACACAATTTGCTAGCAAATTCCTATTAAGAGCCAGTGAGGTAAGCATCTGTTCCCAGCATTTCCCATACTGATATGCTTAAAACCTCACTGCTTGTGAGTGTAGATCTACTGGGCAGTGCATGAAATGAAACCCAAGGAGTTCAGGATGATCTCATGTTGATGAAGTAATAAATCAATTTAAAGTCGAAACGTTGCACCAGCTTTTGTACCAGAATCTTTTCAATGTTGAAAGGCAAGTTGATCAAATCCAGATCCTCCCTTTATTTCCTTTCATAACTAGTTACACAGCCCATTCATTGTGTTTTTGTGCTAGTCTTCACTTTTCTCCCTGCTGTTTTTTATTTATGGCTTACCTTTCTGGATCAGGTGTTAACCAGCTGAGCACGATGGCACTGTGTACTGGCACAGGTGTGAGAGGATAAGTCACTCTTTCTATTAAAATACCCTTCTGTAAGCACTATTCACTCTTGTGCACACCGGAGGGCTTTGTAGAAACATTAGCATCACTAGCAGGACTGCTGCGGCTCTTATTGCAAAGTCAAAAGTACCTGAAAAGCTGAAAGGAGTTGCTCTTGTCCAGCCAATCAAGGGTAACTTTGCTGATGAAATACTCATGACTTTATTCAGCCACTCAAATCAGTTCAGAAACAAATTGCCATTTACAATGCTGAACTCAACAACAGACTCAACCCATTGATATAAAGAGATTAAAGCAGTGAAGTTTTTTTTTTGTCTAATCAATAAAATATACAGCAAATATCAGCCCAGAGGTGGACAATCCTGATGCTGGAGGGCTGGTGAGTCTGCACGTTTTCTAGGACTATTCCTAGAAGCAGCACCTGGAGAGCTGGGAGAAGCTGTTCAGTTGGTCTCTTTAAGCCAGTGTTGGTTTATGTCATTAAGAGCTGAGCTGGAGTGAAAACACAGCGGGCCTCCAGGACCAGGACTGGCTGCCCCTGTCCCAGTTCATGGTCTCTTTAATCACAAACCTTCCACTCAAAGGACAGGCTGCGCTTCTGAAAAATGAAAGCGTCGGTCTCATGAGCTATCGTCACCGTCCCGTTTGTTAGGTTTGTGTTCCCTGGGCTGTGACTTTCCCTGACCTGTTTAATTTTCTTAATTGTGCAATTACAGCTTTTTCATCTGGAGCTGCAGTGCAGAAAACTGCCCGTACAGAGATGTTTGATCTGCTGAAAAGCAACAAATTACAGCTGGAACAGATCATCGATTGATCCAAAGGGCGAAAAATCTAAATTTGCTCAGCTTTTAGTTAAAAGACTTGTAGAAATCTTAACCAAATATATCTAATTCTAATAAGGTCGCTGTGTCAGATTTATTTTTGCCCACGTGAAACATTATGCCAGTTTGGTTGTGTTTGGATGAAAAATTCCTTATAGAATTTACTCAAAGTGTCTTAATACATTTTGAAATGCTCCTTTAACATCAGTGTTAAAATTCCTCCTGTCCTGGTTTATCACTTCCACATGTAATTTTCACTGTAGGGTTTTACCGTGTTGCTCAAAAAAGGAAAGAGTGCCTGTATTCTGGGTGTGGAATTCTCCTCTTTCAGTTTCATCTGATGAGATCCTGGCTTGAATATCTCTTCCTCACTGGTCACCTCACACACTTGGGGTCACTCTGTCACCTTTCTGCGGGGATGCAGACAATATTCCATTACATTAAATGCTTGGCCACCCCGTCTGTACCAGACATATTTTTAACTTGTTCTGTGGCCTGAAACTTCCAGCCCTAATAAGCTGTGATGTCTCTCTGTGAGGGTAATGAAAATTGAATTATTTTTCTTTAATTCCCACGGTTGCTAAAGATAATTATGCTCTCCCATTCTCTGTGCATTGACTCCTCCTACCTACCAGTTCCCTACTGTCCCACCAATACTACTGTAGTCAATACTAACCTGTTCTTCCTCATATACAGTAGTTCATGCCCTTGTGATACAGCAGAACAGCACCACTGTGCTGAAGATGTCCGGACACTATGACTCTGGCATTAGCTGTATGACTGTCTCTCCAGCTGTGTGCCAGGCACTCACTGCTCACCTCTGTTGCAGAGATGATGTCCTTGACTGTTCACTCTGCTAGACCTCTAGCGATGCAGTTCTCTCTGTCTCACTCACAGAAACGCACAGAGGCACACAAGCCCATACATGCATGCACACACTTGTACCCGCACATGAAGGCACAAATGCATGCACATGCTTGCACCCACACATGAAGGCCCAAATCTGTGTACATACTAACATCCACGCATGAACTCTTACATGTATGCACATGCTTGCACCCACAGATGATGGCACAAAAGCGTGTACACACTTTCACCCACGTGTGAACACTCTCATGTATGTCCACGCTTACAGCCACACATGAAAGCTCGCATGTATGCACATGCTTGCACGCATGCAGAAGCTTGCACTCACACATGAACGCTCATATGCGTGCACATGCTTGCACCAATGCATGAATGCGCACACACGTGCAGGTATGTATGCACACACTCCGGCAGTAACAGAGAGAGAAACCTGCTTTAACGGCAGTGGAGAGCCAGGAGAGCTTGATATCACACCTACTGGTACAGCAGAACGAGAGAGAAAGGAAGGGAAGGGAGGGCAGCTGGATGGACGACAGCCCCATGCTGGGGTGTAGCAACAGAGAGAAACAGTGGACCTCCCCAGCCTGCTGAGGGCGCCATATCAGCCAGTGATAAGGGCAGAGGCTAACATCAAACTAGTGTTTGGAACCTGTAGTGTGGTGGAGAGCCAGACAAGGAAGAATCCAGCTGTATGTTGTATCAGAGCAGAGGCTAAGGCAGAGAACGTGCGAGGCAGGGGGACAGAGGCCATGGAGTGAGACCGAGAGAACAGCCTTATTTACACCTGAGTCTGAACAGGAGCTTCAGGCTGATGAGGGGGAGTGAGAGAGGAGAGCTTTGTGATTTTTATGTCCAACAATGTGTCCGTGCAGAGATGCTGAGAGAACGTGAGGGGGAGATGATGTAACAAGTTGTTAGACACAATGTCGATGATACACAACTGGGCCTGAGAGTGAGCACTGTCTTAACTCATAGCCAGTATTGTCCAGTTGCGTTGTCCCCACTGCAGTTGGGATCGATTAAACTCCTGTTGAAAAATAATATCTAGCCTCATCTTAATGCACAAAGTTACCTTTTATATCACTGCAAAGAGATACTTTTTTGCTAGGCATTGGTGTGTGTGCTTAATTTCTACAAGTCTTATAAATGACCTGTCAACTGTATATTGAAATTCACTGAATAAAGGCTGTGGAATAGCCTGCTATAATCTATTATTATTATTGCTGAATGAAATTTCGGAGGCTGTAAGTTTCAATTACCCTTCCTCCAAAGTAAGGAAAGCTCAGAGCAAGGCAAGAGGGCTGGGCAGATGTTATAAAGAACAGTGCTTTACATCTGGGTGCAGGCACTGTGCTGCACAGTGGCAAATTAAACTTCCTGAAAGGGGAAGAACCCATAACACCAGCCCCCCCAACACACAACTACATGCCCTTTCCTTCTGAAAAAAATATTAAAAAGCGACTTATTTCAGCAAGACTGTTTGCAGTTCCCAAAGTCTAATTTCATCTGTATACGGTGCTCAGTTTTAATTTAGTTGAAAAAGACAATGTGCCCCACCAAGGCACCTGGTCCCCATACTTCCTAATATGCCTTTGCTGAAGGATGTGAGCAATGAAATACAGTTAAATCAGAGCACAGAAAGCCATTAATCAGCTTTTTTATTTCTCTTTTTTTTCCAAAGGCTGCTGAAGCCCAGAAGGAATAGTTTTATAAATTTCTAATTTATTCTGAACTGCATCCCACAGTGGCTGTGTTTAATCCCACTACAAATGTTTTGACAGCAATAAAATCATTTAAAAAAGATCAGCGCCCAGGAATCCGGGGAGACTCTGAGCCTCTTAGCTCCCTGCTTTCTTATCCCGTTTAGTCACAGAAATACTATTAAAGTCCCAACGTTCTCTTTTGTCAGGAGGCACCGGTTGCCTTTTAAAAGGCGAGAAGCACAGAAGAAGAAACTGACATTCCTGTGACGCTTTCAACAACAGAATCTCTCGTCTATTCTGAACAAGGTGCGCTGTGCGCTTATTTATGGTTTTTGCTTTTGTTTTTTTCATGGGGGTTGGGGGGGGGCAGTTTCTTCCTCTTTCCAGACCCCCTGTCTCCTTTCTGACCACATGTTTATTTTCTATCGGTTTATTCAACAGGGGGAGGAGGAGGGGAGCTGTTGAGTTGCAGTGAGTGAAAGGGGAATTATTCAAAAGCCGTTGAAGATTGCAGAAACGTTTTCAAGACAGTGACCCCTGGAAATGCGCAGAGCTTTTGCCGCCTGGCAGAGAAAGCAAGGTTTCTTCACGGAGGGAGGTGGAGGACTGCTCTTTGTTAAACAGGGAAGCTGCGTCTAGATCTGTTTTTTTTTTTTTTTTTGTAGCCTGAGAGTAGCGTGATATCCTGTCCTGCTCACTCCTTCGCGGGAAAAGGATCCTCCTCACAGACAGGCCCTTCTGCTCACTGCTAGTAGGGCTACTTGGATTTTGTACTGCTTACTTACAGCAGTAGTGCTGCAGTGGCCTCCTACAGAATATTGCACCCCCTGGCCACTGACTGTCTGCTGTATCTGCCCGACCTCCCTGTCCAGCTAGATGGGGTTGCCTCTGGCTTTCCACTTGGTGCATGTCGCAGTTACTGCAAGGCGCTCCACAAACACCCACACTAATCCTCCAGACCATGTGCGCGCTGCTGCCGCAAGCCCAGCTTCTCTGCCCTTTGAGAATCCAGACAAGCCACACCTGACGGCGCCCGGCGAGCTCCTCTGTGCTCCTGCGGAAATAAAGAAGGGATTTTCCTGAAGGAGGGGGGAGGAGACGTGCGAGGAGGAGGAGGGGGCAGTGGCGGTGGTGGTGTTGGGGGTGGTGGGGGTTTAATCAGCCTGTATTTAATTGCCTCCCGGCCTCCTGGAGTTTGAGCATTTCCATGAAATAGGCTGAGACCCTCTAACACCACCTTTTCTAATTAAAATCATTAGAAATTCCCGGCGTTGCATTGCACCGCATTAAGTGAGCCTCTTTAAGAAACAAATCCCGCAAACCTAGAATTTAACCCCTGCGGGCCTGGCCTTGGCGCATCTGTACGTTTGATCCCTTTTCTCAGTTAAATTCCTTGAACTAAATGGGCCTGTGTGACAGTGAGGGTGTGTGTGTGTGTGTGTGTGTGTTGGGGGGGGGGACCTTAAAGAACTGAAGACAAAGAACCCAGTCAAACAATAACCGGGTGCTCAATTAATACACCATTAAAGCTTGACCCACTGGGATTGGAAACTCTGGTCATCAAAGTGCGGCCCAGTGAGAAGGAGCGGAGTACAGCCTGGGGAGCAGATTTGTTGAGCTGCTGTATTCAGAGCGCTTGTCGTGGGGGTGGAGAGGTGTGTGTGAGGGGGTGGGTAAGGGCTCGGTCCCCGAGGGTTGGGTTCCCTTTCACCCATTTAGATTGCTTTGCAAAATTATATTTTTGTAATGTTCCTGGTGTTAAAACACAAAATAAAACAGTCCACTGAAGTTGGAAAGACATTTTAATTTTTTCTTCTCCAGTTTTTAGCTTTTATTTGACCTGCGATCATTATTAGGGGGTTTCACAGGCTTTGTATGGTCTTCAAAGAAATGCCAACAGGGACTCAGTTTGGCGTGTGGACCCCCTTGTGAATTGAGTTTTCCTTGACCCTTTAAACTGCTGTCTGGACATCTCTTCCAACACTGAAGCCTATATGTCACATACCCAATTAAATACCCCCATTAGATCCAGAGATATGTTAAATACTCATTTAATAACCATTTAACAACATCATCACTGACTCAGAGAACAAACATTGATCTTCCCACCTGTACAGTTCTAACATTTTTGGCAACTCTCAGTAATTAAGAGTTCTCCATTAGGGAAGATAAAGAGGATTATAACTGAGAGACTGTCTAGTTTTCTTGCACGGCTTCAGGCCCTGTTGGAGAAAAGAGCTCACTAAATACCCACCACACGAGCACCAGCAATAACAGAACCCAGAATCCCTGGCTGAGGACTGCTGGGACAGAGGGGAAGTGAGAGGATGAGGGAGGTGGGCTATGGTTTAGAGAGAGAGGAAGGGCGAGGACAAAGGGACCCCTAGCTGTTGTTTCTGGCTTGGAATCCCACATGCATCACTCTCACGCCTGGGGTGTGCAGTGCTGCCACAAATGGAGATAGTGGAGAGGGTGACAAAGAGGATTAATGAGCTGGAGATTGGGGGGTGGGCATGGGCGGTGGCCAAGGTGGTCAAACCAGATGTTGACAGGGGGTCTTGAGAAGGTCAGGGCGATGTCTAACCACAGCTGCTGGCCTCCTGCCCTCTTTGCTCTTTCAATGTTTAACTGCCCCCCCTCAGCAGGGTGTGTGTGTGAGTGTAACGATTAGCCTCTGCCGCTGCTGGATCAGTACAGACAGAGATATATAAATAGACTGGGTTGGGCTAGCAGGGGTGGGCTTGGAAAGATGCTTAACGGAAAAGCAAACATAGGGGTTGTTAAAAACAACAATGTGGTTTGGGGCTGGAATGTGAGATTGGGGTATTCTGCTGAATTTTTTTCCCCCTTTCTAATTCTGCGTGTGTTGAAGCGGCTCTGGATCAGCTCATCTCCTTGTGCTTTGACCACTCGGCAGTACCGTTGCCTTCCGCTGCGGCCTTCTGGGAAATGAGCCGGGATCAAAACAGCCGAGATCAAAACTGCTGCAGGCCTGCCCAGGGCACCAGATACCTCTGCGGAAGAGCCTGCCGGCCCGTGCATCTCTCCTGACTCCTGTCACGGTGTCATATCTCTGGCTTAAGACTCTCATTCCAGCAGAACAAATGGTCTTTATGGGCAGTGTGGAGTCACTGTCAGGGTTGTCCGTGCTGGAACTACACTTCCCAGTGCCCTCACCTCCTGCCACCACTCTCTGTGTCTGCTCTCACGTCCAGGAGCCAGAGAGCAGCCAGCATCTCAAATCCGAAACGCCAGTGCTCAGGAATGATCCAGAATGCAGGCCATGTCTACACAGAACTGCCGACACTCAGTGTAAGATATGATGATCAAGAGGGCTGGAGCAGCCCCATAACTCCATTCGATAATTTGAGAACATCGGAAAGTAATCACTGTGGGCTGTTTTTTTATTCCAGTTTGCAGGTGTAGATTTACCTAAGGTTCCTACTGGACTGGAGAACTGTTATTTCTTCTCTGAGATTTGACGAAGAAGACCAGATATCAACCAGTCACCAAACAACACAAATGTGTTTCAACTTCCTTTCATGTGCAAAAATGACATAACTAAATGCAACATTGAAAATATTTTAAAAACAGTAATGGCAATGGATATTCTACACACATACCTAATATTTCAGACCTTCTTACATTTGGAATATTTTAAATGCTTGACTTTCCTTCTGCTATACTGAACAATAATGATTCTGGTCACTTGTGATAGAGTGCTTTTTAAGAAAACAACAGAATTCAGTTTTCTATTGTTTTCCTCACCCAGTGTAAAACTGTAAAAATAGCTGAAAATATTCAAATCTGAATCTAATTAATCCTCAAAGAAAAGTCTTAAAATTTGTAAATGTTTGAGGCAAAGGGAAATTGTTTTCCTTTCCAATAAATTCTTTTGAAAAGCAATGCTGGTCCTTGTTATCTAATCTTTTTAGGGGTGGGTAAACACCAACATACAGTAACACAAATTAAATACCGACAGCTTAATTAAACCGCAATTATGTTTTTCAATAGTGTCGACCAGATCGGAAACAATGCGCACACCTCCCCCTACCGGCGTTCCGAGGAATAACGAGCAGTACATCTGACAGGAAGGGCCTTGGAAGTCGGATAAGCTTTGCAAAAAATTCCCAATTCCTCTGGTAAAATATTAGTCAATATTATAATATCTTTATCTTCACGAGGAAAAAAGAATATCATTTTCCCTCCTTTTTTCATTATAGTTGACACATCCCTGACTGTTTTGCAGCCTTTCACTGCTGCATGACTTAAAATGACAACCAACAATTATTTAAAACGATTGACAATGAATAATGGAAGTGGGAAAAGTAAGAGATATGACACTGTCGCTTCACAGTTATGTCGAGTTGTTTTACTGTGAATGCTGGGATGGGTTTGAAGACCTACAATAAAGTCTCATCAAACATTCATCTTTCTCCATTCATTGGAAGTTTCATTTCACACCTCTCTGCACCCATTCTGACTTCTGACTTCACACCTCTTGATTGGTCTCTCTTTCTGTCCCCTGCTCCCGCCTCCCACTCCTCCTCCCTCCCAACCTTTGTTCTCCCGCTACTTTACCTTTGCCTACTGCCCTGTCTCTCTCACACCTGAAGAAGGCTCCACGGCCGAAACGTTGTGTTCTCTTTCTTCTTTTTTTCAGCATGGAATAAACCTATTACTTGTTCCTCATCAAACAAGCATGCTTAAAATGTCTAGAAATACAATTTTGCTGAGATGAAAAGTTCTTCAGAAGAGTGGAAATGTGCAAAGGGCTGTGGCACTCTGCTTCACCCGCCTGGTTTACATGAAGGTTTGGCAATGTCCTCGATGGCGAGAGTGTTACCCTGCTGCCCAGCGGACTGAGGAGGAAGTGTGCTTATTGTAAGCTGTAGCCTAAATACTGAGCCAATCTCTTGCATTGTTGAGAGCAGGGGTCTGGACACGTAGTCGCTTTAAAAACATCAAACTGCGTTTGGCTATATTTAGCATAGCTCTGCCCTTGGTAAATAAACACCATTTGAGCTGCAGTACAGGGGCCAGGCCTAATTAATCATACAAGGCGCTAGGAGGTTTAATTGTGTGGTGGGCGACCCTCAGGGGCCTTTGGGTTCTCATTTGGTCTGGGTTCGTAAGCAGTTGCTGACTCTGCAGAAACCTCAGAGGAAAGGCTGTGTGTGTGTTCACCCAGCAGGCTGAGCTGATCCTTCCTCTTTCTTCTGCTCCCTCTGCCCCTCACACCCTCCTCGGAGCACAGCAGCGCCAGTAACACCAAGAAACGAAAAGCAGCAGCACGAGCCCCTTCCGCAGTGCTCGCAGGGTGGGGTTCTGCTGAGTGCTTGCAGACCAGAAGAGTGTGGGCCCAGGGTTACTGAGGCAGAACATTGCTTTAACTCCCTGGTCCTGGGAGAGCTCTCTCTCATAGATGAGCACAATGAACTGCAGTTGGGAAAAGGATTGCCTGGTGGCTGGTACCACTTCTGTTTTGCAACCCTCTAGTGAAAAATGAACAGGTTTGGCACTTCTTTACACAAAGGGTGGTGGGAGTATGGAACAAGCTACCCAATCATGTTGTTGAAGCCTATACCTTGGCTTCTATTAAGGCACAGCTGGGTGAGCTCCTCAGATATCTGTCAAATGGGCTGGATCTGCTGAATAGCCTTCTCTCATTTATAACCTTTCTGATGTTATCATAACAGATTCCACCACTATACATACAGGCAGAGTGCAAACTGGGCTTGGACTTCCTTGCCTTGCCTTCTGTATTGTCACTAATACTCGGTCATCAGCAGTTATACCAGCCCATAAAAATTATCCTATGCCTGTGCTCACAGGACTGGGAGAACTACCAATGATAGTCAACAGCTGGCGATTGAGCAGGTTTGTGAGGTGGCTGCTGTCCATAGAAAAAAGAAGAAATGAAAGGTCACCTCTCTTGCTAAAGGTCAGGTGCATGAAGCATCATGCTGCTCATCAGGACAAAAGTGGGAAGCCTGCTCGGATGTCTTTGCTGTTCTGAAGGAGAGAGTATAACAGGGTACAACACACTCCTGCGTGTGGCATAATTCCTGGTGCACTTGTAGTGAACTTGCTAGCTTAGTAACTGACCCCTTCAGCACTGGCAGGGATGTTGGGAAGGATACTGCATCACAAAGTATCTCTCAGCAGCATTTCCTGTGCATTTCTTTGTGTTGTATTGTTTGTGCCAGCACCCTGTGTTAGGACTGTGCTCTAGAATCAGTTGCCTCTTCCCTCACACTTAGAACCAGCTTGGAGCTCCATGTCCCTCAGATCATTGTTAGTAATTATTTCAGGAATTACAGACACTTCGTCTCAAAATACCATGGCAGGTACATCTGTGTGTTTTTGTTATTTTTGCTTAGAAAGTCATTTTAGTTTAGCTTGGTTTGCCAGATTTAAATATTTTGACAGTACGCATATTAAGTTGAATCAACTTGTTTACGTTCGCACCCTTGCCAACAAAAACACGCAGAAGAGACTTTTCAAGGGGGCTGCATGTGTTTCCTATCAGGACGTCTCAGACAGGCCTGCCAGCAGCTCCCAGACGCTACCAATTACGGGCTGGAGTGTCCTGGCCTGCTGGCGCCCTCTCTGAGCCACGCTGGGAACTGCAGCACGCAAGATCAAAACCGTCAGCCCAGCGAGCTTCACTGGAGAAGCTACCTCTTGTCTTGACAGCTCGCAGGTAAGACACAGACTACAGCAGCGCAAAGGTCTACTACTGAGGTGTAGTAGGAACTATGGAACAGAGGATGTCACATTTGATGGGCAGGTTAGTGCAGAAAGGCAGGAAGTCTCTATGCTCTATATAGTATCTACAAGGAAGTTTGTAGTTGGGTGGAGTAGTGGTTAGGGGCTTCGGAGACGTAATGAAGAGTGTGGGTTAAACTCCCAGGTGTATCAATGGCATTGTACCCTTGATCAAGGTGCTTCACTCAGATTGTGCCAGTTAAATGCCCCACTGTAATCAGTGGGTACAAATGGAAGCTGCTTTAGATGCAAGCGTCAGTCAAGTACATTGCTTTTATTTTACCATTCTGCTTTACTCTGGTTGGTGTGTCTTTCCTAAGCCCCGTTACCCTTTACCACCCTGTGTAATTACTGTATGTCATTGTGGTTTACAGCACCATTTCTCCTTCTACAGAGGAGGTGTGCACTGCAGGGCTCCAGCCTGCTGCTTGACTCACAGAAAATCAGCATCCCAGAAAAGCATTAACAAGTCAAAAGTGACATCTTCATCGGATTACTTCGTTAATAAGCACATCCGACATTAGTATCCAAACTATAATGAAGTAAGCCTTTAGAAAAAAGCTTTCCAAACAAGTATTGCCTACACTCAGAATAATATCAATGTACCGTACAGCAGTGCTGCCCACTGCAGGGTTTGCCAGACCAGCTACACAGGGCTGCAGCTGTGAACCGCACTCATGCTGATGAATGGTGTTACATCACTGCATGGGATTCAAGTCACTGAACTGAGGGAAGACATGGTTAGGCATCAGTGCTGTACGGCACTGTAACAATATGCACCCAACTTTTCTAGGCAGCTCCTGATAAAGAAAATGTGTTACTTTCACAAAGGTGCTGTAATGCCCGTGCAGTCACGCCCTTTGAAGGTCAGACTTAAAAAACAAGTACCCATCCAAGTACCAGAAGGAGAGGTTCAAAGGTCAGAGGTTAAGGAAGGCCAATGTCACGATCGTAATCCCTCCTTTTAAGGGTGCTCCCACTCTTTCACATTTGAGTTGATTATGTGCACCTGCCCTCAATCCTTATTTAAGCCGGGTGCTCTCGCTACTCCTGGCTCTGCATTGGAAGACGGACGCCCGCCTACCACCAAGTAGCCCTACTCCCGAGGCTTGAGGACATAGGCCTCCTATCGGCGTCCTGACCATCTGAGTCCGGGGCTCGGAGCGCCTGGCCTCGTCGTCCTGTTTTTATTCCCTGTCCCTGGACCGGATCCCGTTCCGGTTTTTAACTGTGTCTTGTTTTCGTTGCAGATGGATCTACAGGATCTTGGACTTTGCCCCTGATTTCTCCCCTGGACTCCCTTGGACTTGTTTGCCATGGCCATGCCTCCCGAGCACCAGTTCACTGCCGTCACGCCCCCCTGTCAGTCAACCTGCCCTGACCTCCACCCCGTTGTCCTTTTCCACTTACTTCCAGATTATACCGTCTGCATAGGGTCCTGAACTACCAAGGATTTCCCACATGGCACTCTGGCTGGAGTTACACTCAGAGATCCCAAGTCCATGCTGGGTTTCAAAGAGTCTGCTTTTATCTCATTCATTCTGAAGCCCTATAGAAACGGACGAGACCATTCAGTGCACAAGATGAAAACTGCACAAAGGAGATGCTAAGTGAGCTGCAATCACAATTCTTTCTAATCTAATCTACGTTTTTACTTCCCCAATATGTTGAGAATCCCAGAGCACAATATTTGAGTCAGCACTGCTCTTCTATCAGTAACCCATTGTTACCACCTTCATGCCAACCAAATAACCCCCAGCCCTGGCCAGCCAGCTTGTGGTTTTGTTGGAGAACGATGGCGAAATTCCTTGATTATAAAGAGCAGGTGGCTCAGCGAGGTGGGTCTCTCCGTGTTAAGGATAAGAAGCATTCCCTTGAACCCCGTGCAAAGCGCACCGTATTCCTGTTGTAAGCGCTTCTCCGCGATTTTGAAGTGTATTCCAAGTGTGGAAACATGCTTCGGAGAAAGCAAGCGCAGATCATATTTGTTTAAACTAATTTAGGGCTGGAAACGATACGTTCTTTTTATAATGAGAACAAAATCCCACACAAGCGCTCCAGGTTCCACGGGTGCGCGTCTCTGTCCTGCGCGGGGGTATAAGGCTAATTTGACGCCGGTTTCCTAG